ATCACTTTTGCCAAGGCAGAGGCCATGCAGTACAATGGGAAGGGCATGGTTTGGGTCAATACTCAGATTCTGTCTCTGACATTCAGTAGCTATGCATTCTTGAGTAAGTTGCTTAAACAGAGCATCAGGTTTCTGTGAATGGAGAATAGCAGCACCTTAACTTGCACAGTCTTAAGGGTGAAATGAGAATAGCACCTTACCTTGCACAGTTTTAAGGTCTGAAAATGGCGCATGGCAGGCCCTCAACAACCATTAAAAATATCTCACATCAGTCTGATAATGTACAACTGAAATTACTCAAATGCTCAACTACAAAGTGGGCTCAGAGAAGCTGGCTACCTGTACACCAGGAGCTCCCAATTGACTGTGCATCAGAACCACCTGAGAGCTTTAAAATTCTGATGCCCCTGCCATACCCCAGACCATAACCAGAATTTCTGGTGGGACCCTCGTGACTCCAGTGTGCAGCCGAGGGGAAGATCTCCTGCCTTACAATCCAGCCTTTCTAGATTTGCTCTCAGAATACACATTTCCTGACCTGAATGCTGGGATCACAGCTCCAGCAGGAGGTCTGGGAGTCATTAGGACTTGGCATAGACGTTACAGGTACACCTTGTTTACTTTATTGTGCTTTGCAGATCCTTGTGTCTTTCACAAACTGAAGGTTTGTGGTGACCCTGCATCTAGCAAATCTATTGGCCCCATTTCTCTAACAGCATTCACTCACTTCATGTCTCTGTGTCATCACATTGTAGTAATTCTTACAATATTTCAAACTTTTTCATTGTCTTATTTTTTATGTGATCAGTGATTTTTGATGTTACCATTGTTGATTTTTCTTCATGGGCACCACAAACCAAGCCCAAAAAAGATGATGGGAGGTAAATACCATGTGTGTGCTGACTGCTCCACTGGCCGTTCCCCCATCTCCCACCCTCTCCTCAGGCTTCCATTTTCCCTGAGACACAATATTGAAATTAGGCCAATTAATAATCTTATGATGGCCTCTAAGTGTTCAGGTGAAAGGAAGAGTCGCTGTCTTCCACTTTAAATCAAAAGCTAGAAATGATTAAGCTTATTGAGGAAGGCATGTCGAAAGCCAAGAGAGGCTGAAAGCTGGGCCTCCTGCACCAAACAGCCAAGTTGTGAATGCAAAAGAAAAGTTCTTGAAGGAAATTAATAGTGCCATTCCAGTGAACACACAATTGGCGAGTGGAAGAGTCTTACTGCTGATATGGAGAAAGTTTCAGGCATCTGGACAGAAGATCCAATCAGCTACTACATTCCCTTAAAGCAAAACCTAATCCAGAACAAGGCCTAACTCCCCTCAATTCTATGAAGGCTGAGAAAGGCGAGGAAGCTGCAGAAGAAAAGTGTGAAGCTAGCAGAGGTTGGTTCATGAAGCTTAAGGACAGAAGCCATCTGTGTAACATAAAAGTGTAAGGGGAAGCAGCAAGTGCTGATGGGGAAGCTGCAGCAAGTTAACCAGGAAATTTAGCTACAATCATTAATGAAGGTGGCTACACTAAGCAACAGATTATTAACGTAGGTGATACAGCCTTTTCTTAGAAGATGCTATCTAGGGCTCTCATAGCTAAAGAGAAGTCAGTACTCACTCCAAAGCTACAAAGGACAGGCTGACTTTCCTAATTGGGGCTAATGCAGTTAGTGACTGTAAGCTGAAGCCACTGCTTATTTACCACTCTGAAAATCCTAGGGCCCTTCAAAATTATGCTAGGTCTACTCTGCCTGTGCTCTATAAGTGGAACAGCAAAGCCTGGATGACAGCACATCTGTTAACAACATGGTTTACTGATTATCTTAAGCCCATTGTTGACCTACCACTCAGGAAAAAATATTCCTTTCAAAATATGACTGCTGACAATGCACCTGGTCACCCAAGGGCTTTGATGTAGATGCACAATGAGATTCATGTTATTTTCATGCCTGCTAACACAACATCCATTCTGCAGTCCATGGTAAAGGAGTCATTTCAACTTTAAGTCTTGTTATTCAAAACACACATTTCATAAGGGTATAGCTGCCATAGATAGTGATTCTTCTGATGGATTTGGGCAAAGTAAATTAAAAATCTTCTGGAAGGATTCCCATTCTAGATGCCATTAAAAAAATTCATGATTTTGGGGACTTGATAATATGGATAAATGTAGTAACCACATTGTTTTTTCATGTGAAACCTTCATAAGAGTGTGTATCAATCATACCTTAAAAAAATAAAAAAATAAAAATTCATGATTTGAAGAGGTCAAATATCAGCATTAACAGGAGTTTGGAAGAAGTTGATTACAACCCTCATGGATGACTTTGAGGGGTTCAAGACTTAGGAGGAGGAAGTAACTGCAGATGTGGTGGAAACAGTGAGAACTAGAATTAGAAGTGGAGCCTGAGGATGCGAGTGAATTGCTGCAACCTTACAAAACTTTTTAAATGGATGAGCAGTTGCTTCTTATGGATGAGCAAAGAAAGTGGTTTCTTGAGACAGAACCTACTCCTGGTGAAGATCCTGTGAAGATTTTTGAAATGACAAAGGATTTAAAATATTACATAAACTTAGTTGATAAAGCAAGCCTTCAAAATTGGAGGCTTGACTCCAAATTTGAAAGAAGCTCTATGGTAGGTAACATGCTATCAAACAGTATCAAATGCTAGAGAAATCATTCATGAGGGGGAGTCAATTCATACAGCAAACTTCATTGTCTTATTTAAGAAATTGTCACAGGCACCCCAACCTTCAGCAACCACAACCCTGATCAGTCAGCAGCCATCAACGTCAAGGCAGGACCCTCCACCAGCAAAAGGATTAGGACTCGCTGAAAGCTCAGAAGATGGTTAGCATTTTTTGCAATATATTTTAATTAAGGTATGTACATTGTTTTTTAGACATTATGCTACTGCACACTTACAGACTATAGTGTAAACATAACTTTTATATGCACTGGGAAACCAAAAAATTTGCTTAACTGAGGTGATCTAGAACCAAACTTGCAGTATCTCTGAGGTCTGCCTGTATGTAGGACCCCTGATGGTGTGTGCTTGGAGGTGGGGTGAGTCTAGCAGGAACCGCAGTGCACTAGGACTTAGCCTAGGCCCCTGGGCTGACCATCAACTACCAGAGATTGGCTCACCAAACAACGAGCTGTGTGCACACCAAGCACAAAGGAATGCTATGAGCGCTGAACACTGGAGTGCTGGCAGAGCCAGAGGGAAAACGGCTTCCAAGAGCTGTCAGGCATGTTTTCAGGAGGGGGTGGGTTTGAGCTTGGCCAATCATGATAAAGAGTCTTGTTAGATTTGGCCATGTTGAGACCCTAATTTGGTGAGCAGGAGTCCTGAAAGCAGGCTGCACCTCTGTGGCGGCTCAAGTCTGAGCCCAGCTTTCCATGGGATTCAGGCAGATATCCCCTCAATATTCACTCCCTGTCATAGCTCAAGGACCCAACTCTGCACCTAGAACAAGGTCACCAGGCACTTGAATCCTGCTGCCCCTGATACTTGTGGGAAAAGATGGTTTAAAACCCATTTTCCCAGCCACCCAAGTTTCTTTTCTGAGTGGAGAGTAGAATCGGTAGAAAAAGGAAAGAGTCTCAAGACAGGAAGCTGCTGCACTGTTAAAACAGTGTTACCACTGTTGCTAATTACCATGCAAGGCTCCTCTCAACAGTTTGACTTTATTCAATCACTACAACATGATCAGTGTTAAGCTGTCTCAATACGACCAGGTCTCTAGAGGTGGTTTCTGGGCCATTACTAATTATCTTAACTTTCTGGGAGGCTTCGATGGTGGAGAATCAGGGGACCCAGCTCTGCCTATTGTGAACCTCTTGTGGAACCAAAGCGATGGCTATAAGGACTTTACAGATCTAGTTCCATTTCCTCATGGCTCAGATGGGGAAACTGAGGCTCCAACGGGAAGGGCTGTGTCCAAGTTACCAATGAGTAGATGGCAGTCAGGTCTCCTGATTCTCTTCCCCACAACCTCAGCCCAACTTCTCAGTGGAGGATGCTGGCAGCCTGCCTACTGAATGCAGTAAGAAGGCCATGGTTACACTGTCAGAGGCAGGAGCCTCGGCCATCAGCCACTCCCAACCTACATGTGGAAGGTCAGCTGAGAGAAGGGAAGTGACCTGCCTGAGGGCCAAGATGAGAATTCAGCTCTTTCTTGCCTCTCTGCCTCTTAATAGTAGCCTCCACAATGGAATCTAAAAGAAATGGTAAATGGCAGCATGAAGTCAAGAGAAAAGGATCAACTAGTCTGAGCAATAGATAAAAACTGGTTTCCCTACAACCATTGTGGAAAGCAGTATGGAGGTTCCTCAAAAAGCTCAAAATAGACATACCATTTGACTCAGGAATTCCACTTCTAGGAATTTACCCTAAGAATGCAATAGCCCAGTTTGAAAAAGACAGATGCACCCCTATGTTTATCGCAGCACTATTTACAATAGCCAAGAAATGGAAGCAACCTAAATGTCCATCAGTAGATGAATGGATAAAGATGTGGTATATATATACACAATGGAACATTATTCAGCTGTAAGAAAACAAATCCTACCATTTGCAACAACATGGATGGAGCTAGAGGGTATTATGCTCAGTGAAATAAGCCAGGCGGAAAAAGACGAGTATCAAATGATTTCACTCATATGTGGAGTATAAGAATAAAGAAAAACTGAAGGAACAAAACAGAAGCGGAGTCACAGAACCCAAGAATGGACTAACAGTTACCAAAGGGAAAGGGACTGGGGAGGATGGGTGGGAAGGGAGGGATAAGGACGGGGAAAAAGAAAGGGGGTATTACAATTAGCATGTATAATTAGCATGTGGAAGGCTGTGCAACACAGTGAAGACAAGTAGTGATTCTACAGCATCTTACTACGCTGATGGACAGTGACTGTAATGGGGTGGGGGAGGGCACCTGGTGAAGGGGGGAGCCTAGTAAACATAATGTTCTTCATGTAACTGTAGATTAATGATAACAATAAAAATAAAAAAAGCGCTTGTAAAAATTGAGCATTCTAAAACTTACATAAACTTTTAATAAAAGATATTAAGCATTAAAAAAAAACATTGGTTTCCCTAACATGGTCTCACCTTCCATGAGCTGCCCTGTTTCTGGAGAGACCAGCGCCAGAAAAGAGGGCAGGAGAAGGCAGAGTGAACAGCGAGACTGCGAGATGGGGCAGGAGTGCACTGGGGAGCATTAAACCACCTGCACTTGGCTCAGTAATTCTATGACTCCTTCCCTGGTGAGGAAGACCACCTCGTCAGTGTTCTGGCACCAAACCTCAAAATGTGCAGGGTCCTCCAGGGCCTTCCTGCCAGCAATGATCACAAAGGGGTAGCCAAACTTGTTGGCATCCTTCAGTCTGTTTCCAATGGTCAGGTGTGTTCTGTCATCCAGCAGGACCTCCCCACGAAGCTGTGGCACCGCCTCTGCGATGTGGTCATACAGGTGCCCCACGAGCTCCTCAGCCGCCTCCTCCCTACTGCCCTTCTTTGGGGGAATGAGGCAGGCTTGGTAAGGGGCCAGGAGGCCAGGCCAGCGAATGCAGTCTTCTGTAGAGAGAACTTCAATGGCAGCAGCCAAGATCCGTGTCACACCCAAGCCATAGCAGCCCATTTCAGCCAGGGCTAGCTTGCCGTGGTCGTTGATAAACTGGGCATTGAAAATGGAGGAGTACTTGGTGCCCAGGTAAAATGTGTGTCCCACCTCAATACCTTTGGTTTCAGTCAGAGGTCCCTGACAAGCTGGGCAGTTTGTTTGTGACAAGTCTAGTGTCTCTACATTGGCCGAGAAGCTACAGCTGGGGCAGAGTGCAAACCTGTCCTCTCCGACATCAACTGGTAGCTGGAACTCATGAGACATGGTGCCCCCAATGCTGCCCACATCTGCTTGGACCTTAACACACTGCAGCCCCAGCCTGTCAAACAGGCCGCTGTAGGCATCACACACCAGGTTGTAGGTCTGCCGGGCAGTCTCTGGGGAGGAGTCAAAGGTGTACATGTCCTTCATGTAAAACTCTCGGCCTCGGAGCAGACCAAAGCGGGGCCTGGGCTCATCCCGAAACTTCCTTGTCACCTGGTACAGCAGGAATGGAAGCTGCCTGTAGGACAGTGTCTTCTGGGAGGCGATCAAGGCTGTAATGGCTTCCTCGTGAGTTGGTCCTAAGCAGTATTCCTTGCCGTGTCTGTCTTGAAGTCTCAGCAGCTCCTTGCCCAGCAAGTCCCACCGGTTGCTGGCTCGCCAGAGGTCTGCTGAGCAAAGGCTGGGCATGTTGACCTTCTGCCCCCCAATGGCCTGCATCTCCTGGTCTATTACTCGCATGAGCTTCTCCATGGCACGGACAGCATAAGGCAGGAGGTGGTAACAGCCCAGGCTTGCTTGGTGGATCAGACCCACCTGTAGCATCAGCCGCTGGCTCTTACAGGTCAGACTACCAGATTTACCTTCAGGAGAGAGCACCTGGTCTTCCCGAAGGTTCTGGGGCTGGAACATACGAGAGAGCACCAAGCGCTTCCCTTTCCCTGGGGCACAGTAGTGAAACCTGTGAGGAATGCACCCAGGGAGCTGGTGGCTGCAGATGGCCAGAGGAGGCAGTGCTCTGCATCCTGTCAGCAGCCCTTCCATGACACTCCGGCACAGGGAAGTATTTGTGCCTGGAGAAAAATGAGCCAGGCAGAAATAAGGTTGTGTTCTTACACCACGAAGTGGCCGGCTCAGTCTGGTCTCCAACAGCCGCCTGTGACAGCCACTGGTTTTGCAGACGCAAATCCTCTCATTTCTGATACCCTAGCAGATCAAAGTACTTCTCTTGCCTCTTACTGCTGTTGAAAAAAAAAAATCAGTATTTTTCAGTTTATAAACATATGGCAGCATACTGTGGAGAGAGACTGTTGTGTGGTGACTGCATGAGCTCTAGAATCAGGCAGCCTGGATTCTAGGCAGGCTTCTTGCCGACTGTACCCTGTGTACCTTAGGGCATGTGATTTAACCCCTCTCTGCTCACTTTCTTCATCTAATACAAGAGGACCACTCTTGTAGAATTATTGTGGGAATTTAGAAGAGTTACAAGAAGTTATTAGAACAATATCAGGCACATTCTATGAGCTCAATTGATGTTTACTATTGATATTATAGAAAACTGGGAAAAGAACAGAAACAAATAAAAAAGGAAATCAATGATAATCCTTTGGCCCAGAGACAACTACCGCCGCCAATCCCTTGTCTTGTTTGCCAGCCCTGTCCTTTGCCTACACCTCCCCTCTGCCACCTTATATGTCGTATGCCCCTTTCCTTCTCACAGCACATGCTCCCCTGGTCAGGCCACATGCTCACAACCCTGAGTCAACACTCCATATATGTCTCTTGAGCTTCAAATCTACCTATTCAACTGCCTCCTGAAGACACACTGCATGGGTATTTCAAACTCAGCACCACAGAAGGAAGTCAGCACTTCCCCCCAAACCCACTCCCCATCCAGTGCTGCCTATCACTCTGGTGCCTATCACTGCAAGCTGCCCTTTGCCTAAACTAGAAACCTGGGTTCATCCATTCCATGCTCCCCACAGGCACCAGCCCTCAGCCCGGCCATTCCAACTCTTTGCTTGCTGTTGAACCTTTTCCCCTTCCCACCTCCACAGCCTCCACCCAGGACCAGGCCAGTATCATCTCTTACGTGGGCTACTGCAACAGCCTCCTCACTGGGCTCCCGGCTTCCAGCCCTGCCCTTCTCCAATCCATTCTCCACACTGCAGCCAGAGGGGCCACTTCCAAAACACACAAGTTTTTCTTGCTTCAAGTCCTACACCAGCTTCCTGCTACCCTTAGAGTCAGGTCTACGCCGCTGACCTTCACAGCTGGCAGGTGAGCTGGTGGTGGCTCCTCCCAACCTCTCCATGTTTCAGCTGCACTACATTCACTCACAGATGCACTATGCCCTTTGCATACCAATATCTGCTCATCCTCTAGACCTCAGGATTACCAGCCTGTCCTCCAGCATGCCTTCCTTGTCCCATTCCCATACCCCAAAGACCGGCGGCTCACAGCAACCACCTGTTCCCTAAGAAACCCCAATCACTCTTTGAAGTTACTGCTCATTTGTCTGCCCATTTACCCCTGGGAACTCAGCTCTGGGCAGCAAGGACTGTATCTAACGTGCTCGCCACCTGGCTGGTGGCAGGAGCTTACTGGACATTGTCTCTTGAATGAGCATGCATGTTTCTGATTTTACATATTCTTAAAGGTAGTAAAACATTCCATTGCTTGACTGTATCATTTTTTACCACCAATCGTCAGTTTTCTCTGTTACACATAATCTACAATGAACAGAAGGCTTTTTTCTTTTCTGTTATATATTTGGGAGAGATTTTTCAGGAATGTAATTATGAGTCAAAGTTTCTTTGACTAATTTATTATTTATTATTTTATTTTTGACTAATTAATTTAAGGTTTTTGAAATAAACTATTTCAGGGTTCTTGATTTTTGTTGCCAAGGTTGGTGAGCATGTCTGCTTATCCTGTGGAGCAAAGCTCCCCTGCAGGATTCTGAGACTGGGATGCTGACTCTTCTCAACTCTGGGAAGCTGGAACCTCATGCAGTTCCCTCTAGCTCTCAGCAGCCTCATCCATTTCCTTTGTGCACAAGTATTATCACTTCCTAGGTGGCCCATGGCCTGAAGAAGGTTGGGAGGCACTACCCCAGAGCCCTTATGTGAATGCGTGGAAAAGTGCAAGTCTGGGAGGCAAGGCCCATGTGATCCACACCTGGCTCCATCACTTACTTGAGGCCCCACCTCAGGCCAGTGGCCTGTACCAGAAACTCCTTTGCCTTGACTCCTCCTAAAGCAAATGAGTCCATCTCCAAGATTTCTCTCCTGTCCATCCCCTCCTCTCTGATCCTTACTGCTTCAAACTTGGGTTAGCCTCCCCATCCACTTGCTATATTACAGTAGCCCAGTGAAACTTCAGTGAGCACCAGAATCACCTGGAGAGCTCGTGAAACACGGTGGGGCCTCGCTCCCAGAGCTTCTGACTCAGTAGGTCTGGGGTATGGGCAGAAAACCTGTACTTCTCACAAGTTCCCAGGAGATGCTCATGCTGCTGGTCCAGGGACCACACTGAGAGAACCACTGTAAACTCCCTGTGGGCCGTAACCATGTTTATTTTATTGCAAGTTGGATCTGCAGCATGCACCACAGTACTTGGACACAGTGGATACTCAATAAATGTCTATCAGTGTGTGAACTGAATGATTCCTGACCCCTGTCTATTCAGTGTCCATATTACAGCTAAAAAGATAGTTAACTCAATCACTCCCCTGCTTACAATCCATTAATGGCTCCTCATTATAATTTTCTCAGGATAGTACCAAAGCCTCTTCATATTTTGATCTCAACACCCAACACACTTCTTCCAGCTTCTTGTCCTACCATTCCTCTAACACGCCCCACATTGATCAACATTCCTGGAATAGGCCAACTTCCCTCAGCAACTCACAATTTGTCACTCAAGGTTCCCTTATCGTAAAAAGCCTTCTCCAACAACTCCAAACAGAGATAGTCTCTTCCTTTTCTGTGCTCCCATTTATTTATACACCTACTTATAGTTTACTGTAATGGAGTAATTTTCAGAAATGTTTTTGAGAAACTGATGTGTGAAGGCATTGGGAGTGAATGATTTTTCATGTCCTATTCTCCATTAAACTATGAGTTCATGAGGTTTTCTGCATTTTTAGATTTCAGGGCCTAGCATAATGCCTAATACTTAGGATATTATTATTGCTTATTGATCAAATATAGTAGTAAATGACAAAGTAAAGGGCTGCAATGGGATAATTATCTTGATAATTTAAGTAAGAGCCTTAGGTCCTCTAATACCTTCCCCCACTCCCCCCACCAAATGTGTGCCTGTCCTCAGACCCCTCAGCTTACACAAATAGGAGAATAATTACTATTATCTCACTTTTTCAAGGTTATCGACAGGCAATACCTCAAAAGCAGTATAGTAACGAATGTGTCCTATACTTCAGATTCTGAAAGTGAGCCTCCAGTTATTCAATCATTCAATAAATTTTTTATGGCCAATGATTCTGTAACATCTTCCTATGTTGACTGACAGTAACTGCACTAGTTGGGGTAAGGATTTAATAAAGTGGGTAACTCTTGAACCACTGTGTTGTAAACTTGAAACTAACATAAGACTGTATCTCAATTAAAAACACACACACGTTTTTTATGGAGCATGTACTCCATTCCTCCGACACAGGCCTTTTGTATTGTTCTATTCATAATGGCCCGGCAATGCAATCAGGAAAGCTGTGCACAAAGGTTACAACAGAGCCTGGTATATGGTAAGTACCATAGTGTTTGCTATTATTATCATTATGTGCAACTCGCAGAAGAGGTAGGCTCAGAGATGTGAGGTCATCTGTGACAAGCGACATAACAGATAAGCACAGAGTCCTACCTGGAAAGCTAGGTCCCCGCTCCCAATTCCTGTTGTTTCCACCTCATACAAATGTTTGTACACAAGTATCATTTCCTATGTGGACCAGGACTTGAAAAAGGTTGGGAGGCACTGCCATACTGCATGAAACAATGGAATCTATGAGCTGGCTTTGCCTGCACTGACTGGGTGACCCTGGTCAAATGAGTCCCCTTTCTGAATCTCCATTTTCCTATACGAGAAATGGAAAGGTTGGCTCAGCCACCAGGAGGGCCTCTCCAGGACGGGCACTTCTAGGGCCACGGTGACACTCAAAATACGACCTGAGGTGGCAAGGGAGGAAGTCTTGCCCTCATTTTACAACGGAGGAAACTAGGAGATCCTAGAGTTTAGGTGATTGTGACCCCGCCCCAATCCGAGGACGGATGCACGTGGGAGAACGGACCCCAGGGTCCTGAGGTTCAGCACTCAGGACCGAGCACTCTCCGCTCCACCGTCCCCGACCCGTCCCTCAGCCCTCGCTTCCTCCCTCGCTCACCAACAGGAGGCCCAGCCAATGCCGCCGGCCGGATCACCACGCCGGGCCGAGAGCAAGCGCCCCGGCCGTACCCGCCCCAAGCTCCGCCCCCTATCCGTCTCGCCAATCACAAAGCCGCGCTCGCCGAGACTGGCCCCTTCCTGACTTATACACCAGTGAGAGGTTTTCCGGAAGCTTGGCCTAGGAGAGAGGACCCGGCTCGCCCCCAATCATAGATTGGCCTGGGCAGCAAAAAGTAAATCACCGTTCCGGAAGTGCCCTCTAGGATTAGGGAGGTGTAACTCTATGATCAGCGCCTAGGTTTTGAGCCTGGAGTTCCCTCCCACTGCCAGGGCCCGCCTCACTCTCCAAACAGAAGTCTGGCGCTAGTGTAACCATGACAACGGTGGTGAGTGGGCAATGCAGTTTTGAGTCTACCCTACGATACTACAGGCTTTCAATTTAAATACATTGAGCATTTTTAAACAATTGTAAAATGGCACCTTTATTACAAAGTCCAAGACAATCTTTTAAGACACTAAATCAAACTTTCATTCACAAAATATTTTTTGAGCAGCTACTATGTATCTACCACTATTGTAAAAGCTAGGAATAGTGAACAAAACAGACAAAACAATATTCCCTGCGTTCAGTGTAGCTTACATCTAGGAAGAAGTGACAGTCAGTAAACCCATACAGTGAAATTTAAGGAGGCATGGGGTGGGCAAAGAACGCAGCAATCAAGGTAAGTAGTATTTTAATGCAATTAATTAAATAAACCACAAAATTAATGCAAAAATCCATGGTTCACAAAATATCAAAATTTTAAATAAAAGACAGAACCCATCAGTCAGATAGTGTTAAACACTATGAGAGAAAAATTAACTCTGAAAGGGAAATGGGCTGGAGGTAGAATGATTGCAGTTTAAAATGGGGTGATCGTGGATAGCCGGTGACATTTTAGCAAAGACTTGTAGGTGAGAGAGTCTTGCAAATATCTGGGGGAAGGATGTTCTGGACGCAGGAGACAAGAGCAAACATCCTGAGGCAAGAGCTGCATATCATGTGACTCTACCTAACTAATAACAGCTATAGTGTTGAGTGCCTAAAATGTACCAGACCCAGTGCAAGACACTTGGGATTCTGATACTGAGCCCAAGAAACTCAGCCCACCAAGATCTGACGTGAACAACAGTGTGATTGACAAGTGATATAATGGGGGCTGAGAAAAGTCCTGTGGGAGTACAGGGAAGGAAGGCATCAAAGGTGAGCTTTGAGCTAAGCCTGAAGAATGAGTGGGGTTTAACCAGGGCAAGAATGTCAGTGGGAGTGGAGTGGAATGTCCAGGCACTAGGGACTAGGACACTCACAGACTTGGAATCAGGAAATAATGAGCCAGTGTTAGGGAAGCCTGAATGTGGTAGAGCTTACACCTTAATTTCCCACCACTGCTAACACAGTGCTTGACACACAGACAAGAGCAGAGGTTCTCACACTTGACTGCACTGGAAGCACCATGTGCCTCCTACCCCCAGCCCAGAGATGCTTGGTTATCAATCTGGGGTCAGCCAGAGCATTAATATTTTATAGTATCCCAGATGATGCTAATGTGCACCTGGGCAAGATCTGCTGACCTAGAGGAAAGGCACGTGACAACCTTGTAGGTGGTGGGGGTGAGGGGACTAGATGCATTTCATCATCCCGACCTCACAGATGAAGAAAACACAGCTTGGGTAGACCACACAACTGGCATCTGCCCACCAGCTAGGAGGCAGGGCAGGGCTGGGCTGGACCTGAGCTCTTTTGCTCTAAGAACATCACTCAGCTTTGCAGCCCAGCACTGGGATCAAGGTTTTCCCCAAGGAGTGCAGTCCCAAAGGTTTTACAGAGGCAATATTCCCCACCCCTCCTCTCTGGGGGCAGGAGGTGAATAATCTTGAGTATATTTCGGGATCCAAATTAGCCTTATATTTCTCCCTACTCCCTAAGCATATTATTACATCCCTTCCAATCCTGGAAAAGCCAAGCATCCGTCTTCTGCACCCTGAGGTGTTAATTATTTCTCAATTAGCAGTTCCCAGGCTGGATAGCATGGTGGTGTGGAGAGGCCTAATGACTCGCCATGTTTATACACCCTCACATCTTCAGAGCACTTTACCAATGGTAAACAATTAATGCTCACGACCCCCTTGGGAGGCAGGCCAAGAACTGCAGTGTTTTACTTGGAGTTTTCAGAAGGCTCTGCAGCCTAGAGCTGCAGAACCTGCACAAGACAGCCATCATCTCCACTAAGAAAGACAGTGTGATGGAGACCCAGAATCTAGCCATATAGATGCTAGTAACTTCCTGTGTGAGCTTAAATCAATCAGTTGATCAGCCATGTATTGGATGCCTTGATTTACAGAGTTCATTCATGTTTAAAACCCCACAAGTTCCCTAAAACAGGAAAAAACTCACAGAAAAAATTCATTCATTCATTGTCATCAAAAACAAAACAAAAGGACCCCACATTCCACACTTGCCTTGCTGCCCCACACTCCTGGAGACACACCATGCATGTAGTGGTTTCCACTGGCCACTGGCCAGACTGGGAGCCCCTTGGAGGGCAGGCATAGGTTTTGCTCTTTCCTGTATCCTTAACCTTGAGCAGAGGACCTGGCCCATCTGGGGATTAGCAAGTGTTTTATCTTTTGTGTGTTAATACATCAATTAATACGTGAATGAATAGTTTGTCTCCGTTGGAGCTCCTCCTTCGGGGAGTCACTCTTGCATCCAGAGCCCATGGCCTGGCAGAAGGGCTCTAAGTGTGTGTTGATTGAACAAGTGAAGGCAGTGTATGGTGAATTCCCTGAACTCAAGTTGCTCATAATCTCCTGGAGAGGCTGCCTCTCAATTGGTGGTGGTCCCAACACCCTGTGGTAAGAAGCTATAAAGAGAAAGAGCAGCATTGTAAGGGAGTGGGGATCAGGGAGGGCTTCTTGGAGGAGGGAACATGGAATTGAAATTTAATGGATAACTAGGAGCTTCCCAGGCTGAAAAGGGGGGATAGAAAGACACTAGTCAGAGGGGTATTAAGTTATGACTGGCTGTGAGGAAGAAGGCCTAAAGATAGTTTGGCTGGAGCACAGATCTCACCCAGGCATCATAGAAACACCGATGGCAGTGGGTGCCAGTGTGCCAGAGCCTGCTTGTCCAGACTGTTTTCTCTTCATCTTTGAGGCCAATGAAACATTTTCTGTGAAGAATGATACTCCCTTTCCCACCAACATATACATATCTGTTTTGAGGCTTAGCCCCAAAACAACTCCTCCTCTGAGAAAAAAATCCCTGGGCATTCTGCACTCCATCCTTGACATCTATTTGTTATAATTTGAAAACAAACACAATTGTTACTCCAAGAAGATGACCACCTCCTCTGCTGAGGAGGCTGGCCACATGAGAAGCAGGCCTGTGGGCAATGGCAGGACTTTACAACAGGGAAGGGCACACTCTGCTGTGTTCCTTTGCCTGAATGAGGTGTGAACTCAGACTGGAGGAAGAGGATGAAGAGAGAGGCCCAGACTGGGGTGGTGGGTTGGGGAGGAGGGGACAGGCTCCCGAGAACCATCAGGACAGTCCACCTGGAGGACTCCTGAGCCACCCTGCTTCCCTGTTAGCCCAGCCCAGCCCAGTCAGCCTCTTCCAAGCTATGATCTTAAGCCAGACGCTTCTTCATTTTTTCATCAGTAACACAGAACTCTAATACCACCACATAGGAGTATTGCGAAAGCTCAGTGAGAGATGTAATAGCAAGCACGAGCTCCTCCTTTAACCCGTTCCAACTCTGGGGACCCCATGGTCCCCTCGCCCACCATAAAGAAAGACCCATCAATCTGCTGCTGTCTGTTCTCTTCAGACACCCTGCTCCTGCCGCCGCATGGGACACCAGTCCTCTTCTGTCTCCAGGGATCTCTTCTCAAGACCCAGAGCACATCACTTGCTCATTCGCTCAGTACCTAAGTCTGGATGATTACAGACCAGAAAGGGGCTGGGAAGGTGGGCTCCTTTTTTTCATTAAGATTCCTCAGAATTGAAGAGTGTAGCCACCGATCATCATTGTCGTCATTATCATTGTTCCCATTTACAGAGCTTTTGCTGTGTGCCAGGGACAGTATGGGACACTTCACACCCAGGTCTGATGATTTCCTTACAATGACCCCATGAGGTATAAATATCACTGTTATTTCCATTTTACAGATGAGGCAACCCCAGGCTTGCCCATGGTCAACACAACTACTAGAAGGGGAGAAAGGATTCATCACCAGGCCTGTTTGATGCACAGCCTGATCTCCACACTTACAGCCTCCAGTGACAATATATTTGTATCAAACATGTGTTGACCTGTAAGCAGAGGTGTGGGAGGAACAATCCAAACAGACCCTTCCTGTGTCCCCGTTGACTGGACGCCCTCTCTTCAGGGCTCAGTTCAATGGCATCCTGTTTAGGAACCCTTCCCTGAAGCCCCCACTCCCTGTCTTGAGACCCCTCAGAGTTTTTTCTGAGTTTCTCAGCTGGCCTCTTCCCTCTCTGGAGTCTGTTACAGCTGAGTGGGTACATACAGTGAGGTAAACAGACCTGAATGCAAATCCTCACTTTGTCAACTACTTACTATGTGCCTATGGTTGAGACAGTCAACCTCCCTGAGGCTGAGATGCCGCATCCTTAAAACAGGAGTGACATTTCCCCACGGAGTTGTGATGAGGATGCAAGGAGCCAGCCCATGTGAAGGGCTTAACACAGTGCCTGGCACATGGCCTGGGTTCAATAATGTTTGCTACAATGATGATTATTATTACTGATGAAAGTGCCCTGACTGTCACCATGCGTGGTACACAGTAGGTCTTATAGCACATGCAAAAAGTTCATCTCTTCACCAACTGGGCTGCGAGCTTCCAGAGGGGAGAACCTATGTCCTTTTCATCTCTAGCCCTGCCTTAGTAAATCTGTGTACTACATTAAGAGTTTTGTAACACAGTAAATCTCAATAATTTTGCTCATAGCAAATCTCAATGCATATTTTCTGAATCAATGTCTTTCTAAACAACAACCTCAATTCATAAAATTGCCTTACTAAACATGCAATGAAACAAAATCTC